CCTCGATGAGGTGAACTGATTTAGCGAATGGGGTAATCAGGATGGGTGTGTCGGGACAGTGAGATTGGCACACTACAGAGCAGAGTTTAGGGCTGTTGTACATAAGGTCGCTATGAGTCGCAAGCAACTCGACAGCACATAACAACAACAACAACAACAATGTTTTAGCTACAATATTGTGGCTGGTAGTACTGGTGAAGCTATATCAATAATGTTTCTATGAATAAAGTAGTGATAGAAACAAAAGAAAAAATCTAAAATTGATTTCTTCTCACTTATTCATAATACTGTGACTAATTATGTCATAATACAATGTAGAAAGATTTTGAGACAATTTTATTGTTTAGATTCACATAATCTAAAAAAATCACACAAGTAATTTACAGCTGTATTTATCATACATTGTACTATGATTAACATTGAGACTGGACATGACTAAGGATTCTGTGTAGTCTGAAATGGAGGCGTTCCATGGGAGGTTGGTACGAGGAGTTATCACACTGAGTGGCACCAGTTTTAGGGACAGCACCCTCCTAGATGCCCTAGAACAGGGGTTGAAACCTGGATAGGGTCCCTGTAAGCTGCAAACAGCTGCCATGTTCAGTTACTAACCAAAGCACCCCTGACCCACAGGCAGGAGAACAGACTGAGGACCCACGTCCCACGTTAGCCATGGAAACCTCAGAGCAGTGCTGGTCTGACACACACGGCATCACCGTGAGCCAGAATGTATTCCATAGCAACGGACTGTGGCTGACGTTAGGTGCTGTCAAACTGATGCCAACCCACAGTGACCCTCTGTACCACAGATCCAAGCTCTGCCAAGCCTGCACCACGCTCACAATGTCCTCTGTGCCAGTCCATCTCATTGAGTGTCGTCTTCTCCTTCTCTGACCCTTCACCCTTCTATGCTTGATGTCCTTTTCCAGGAATTGGCCCCTTCTAACAGTATTCCTAAAGAATTCACCAGTTTTGCCTGAAGGAGCATCTCTGCCTGTAGGGAGCACCCGCACCTGTGGGGAGCACCCGCGCCTGTGGGGAGCACCCCCGCCTGTGGGGAGCACCCCTGCCTGTAGGGAGCACCCGTGCCTGTGGGGAGCACCCCCGCCTGTGGGGAGCACCCCTGCCTGTGAGGAGCACCCCCGCCTGTGGGGAGCACCCCCGCCTGTGGGGAGCACCCCCGCCTGTGGGGAGCATCCTACCTGCATCCTTGTCTGTAAAGAGCACTCTTGTAGCAAATTAAGTATTTGAAAATGGATCTGCTTTTGCTTTTTTATTTTCCCCCTTCATTTCCTCATGTAATTTTCACATACTAGTCTTAGCATCTCTTTCTAGTTTCTGTCTTCCTCATCTATTTATTATAAAAACAAACAAAATTATATTCACTATTGTTAATTCCAACTCCTATGGACCCTCCATCATCTGTCTTTAAGGGAGGAAATTAGCCATCTTCCTTCCAGGGAGCAGCCTAGATTCAAACTGCTGACATTTCAGCTCAGAACATTATGCACTTTTCTACTAGGATGCCTGTATTTACTCTACAACATTGAAGAATGACTTTGACTATTCTCTATTCTTTCTACTCTCCTTGTACGGTTTATCACATTACAAAAAAAGTAAGTCATTGCTGTGCAGTCAAACGGAACCTCCCGTGAATTTTCAGAGGCTTTAACCTCACAGGGAAGATTGCTCCTCTTTCTCCCAGCGAGCAGCTAGTGGATTCAAACCACTTGCCTTTTGATTGGCAGTGCAACTCCTTACCGACTAGGCCACCAAAGCTCCCTGTTTACAACAGGGCATGTTAGAATTCTATTTCTTCGTAGTGCTTTGTCTCCATAATGGAACATGTTGTTGAGCATCACTGAGTTGGTTTTGACTCTTAGTGATGCAGGGTGGCCCTGCCTCAGAGCATCCTAGGCTGTTGCTGTTCTGGAGGTGGCCAGGCCATTCTCCTGCTGACCCCTGGGTGTCCCAGAGCCACTGATGAGCATGTGGCCATGATTCTATCACTGCTCCTTTGTAAATGTGTAATAAATCTCTCTCTAATCACAGTAAATGTAGATAGACTTAACTCACCAATTAAAAATACAGATTGGAAAATTGGGCTTTAAAAATCAGTTTTAAAAAAATAGTGACTAGATGAGTCAGGCCTAGGAGAATGCAATATGCAATAAGAGTTTAATTAGACATTGTAGTATATGAATTATATTAATAAATGTAGTTAATGTTTATAAAACACAATTATGTATGAATTGAATGAAAAAATCAATATGATTTATAAATTTTCACCTCCTGTGAACATGAGAAACTAAATAACTTCTGAGTTGTTTCCTAGAGGTACCCTTAAATCTTAGGATGCAACAGGGCTGCAAGGGATACAGGTAACACACCTCAGCTTGTTCCTCTGCAGTAATAACAGATAAAATGTTGTTGTGTGCCGCCAAGGTGGAGCTGACCCATAGCTGACCCTCCTGCAGGGTTTCAGAAGCAGTAAATTGCGTGGGAAGAGATTGCCCGTCCTCCTGAGAAGCAGCTGGTGTGCTCAAACAGCATACCTCAGCACAGCTTCAAATTTCAGCTGATAAAATGCACTTTAATAAGAACCAAACCATATGTGTTTGAAAAGATGCATTTATGTCGTATATATGTATAAAGACAAGGAATTTGGACTGGAGGTTGTAATGGGTGAAGTATTAAAGGTGGCTTCAACTGGAATAACTTTTTGTTGTTCTAAGCTGTCTGGTGAATATATGAGTATTCTATATAATCTTCTAACTCTCGAATACCACAAAGGTCCCCCTACGTTGTATTTTAAATAGCTCTCACTGCCCTCCAGCTGTGTGATAGGCTGCAGGAATGCCCAGGAGAGACAGCGTCAGGGTGGAGTCGGAGGGACTGACTTTGAAGGATCTTGTGAGGAAAGGTTCTTCTAAGAAAGAGCAGGTTACGTGGACTCCTTTTGCTCTTCGGGCAGCGTGGGTGGGTACACCACCTCCCTCGCAGGGGGTTGTGGGGATTAAATGAAACAGGACTGTAGCAGAAATGCCTGGCACATGGCAGGTGTCCAGTAAATTATGTTAGTGCTGGAAACGAGGAAGAGTAGAGATAGCAAACTGGAGATGTGAGATGCAACGCACTTCCAGACTTCCCAAGGCCAAGGTGGTGTCTGTGTCATCGTGCATGTTCATCCTGGTTTTACTGTTGTTGTGATATGAGACATGGGGCTCTGGTGGCATGGTGCATTACGAGTCGCACTGCTAACTCAAAGGTCAGTGGTTCACAATCACCCATTGTCCCTTACAAGAAAGATGAGCCGTCTCCTCTAAAGATTTACAGCCTCCCAACCCCCACAGAGAACCACTATGGTCATTACAGCTAGATAGGAGTGGGTCCTATATAAGGGGGTAATTGCTATTTCAACATTTCTCACATGTTTAAATGGGTGGAGTTAATGAATTACACGAAACAGTGCCTACAACCATGGCCATGAGCCTGGAGACATGGGGAGGTTGGTGCAGGAAAAGGCGAGTTTCTGATCTGTTGTTTGTAGGGTAGCTCCTCCCAGCACCAAACAACTACATTTACTGTTCTTCAGTCCCCACCATTGTCCTTCCCAAGTTCTCCAGCGCCCTTAACAAAAGATGTCTGTCATTGAGTGAGCTCTCAGGTGCGCGCATATGCTAAACCCTGAACCTAAACTCTGTGCCCAACAACCCAGAGGCCTCCAGACAACTGCTCCTGACTCATCTCCTACTCTGACATCGCATCCCACAAAAGGGGCTTCTAATAGTGAGATGGGGTTCTGGAAACACACAGGTGACAAGGAAAGTGGGTGTAGACAAACCATCTAAACTCTGCAACCAAAAGGCTCAGTGGCAGTTCTGTTCCTGCGAGCTAGGAAGGCAGCACCCAATGGAAGATGCAGCTGCGCCTCTCCCGCTCAGAACCGCCGCTCTCGCTGCGGGGAGGCGCCCGCGAAAGGGTCTGTAACTTCGCAGATGTTTCACTGGTCGGTACCCAGTTTTATGACACTCAGAACTCAGATGAGGAAGGCGTAAATGCTCTCGGATGAGTGATGTGAGCGCGCGGCCTTCCGCAGGTCTCCTCAGCCCAGGGTAAGAGCTGAGCGCACACGGGGATCCTATTCCTTACCACCACCACCCCCGCCCCCTGCTGTGGACGTTTTACAAAACTCCAGGTCCCTGCTCCTGGCGCATTTCCTTTTGCGGAGGCACAGGGACCGAGTCAATCCCGGGATTGCCGGCTTGTCGGTGAGGCTAGAAGCGCTGTCCCTGACAGGCACCCAGGCGAGGGGAGAGAGGAACAGTCCAAAAGGTGAGGGCTGTGCATCTCCCCGCGCTGTGCGCGCCCCTGCGCCTCCAGCGCGCACTGAGTCAGTCATCTGGCGAGCACCAGTCAATTCCCCTGTGTCCTGAAGACCAGAGGGCGCGGCTGAGCCCTGCAGGGAGGTGGGCGGTGACCCACTGGGTAGGACGCTCTCATCCCTGCATCCTCGTACTTACTGGGAACGAAGAGGCACCCTGCTGCCCGGCGTCCTCCCTCCCTCCCTCAGCTGCAGCCAAGGAGCTGGTGCGCACCAAGCATCGGAAAACACCGCCCAAGGACTCCCTCCAGCCTCTGCCAACACCGGGAGGGAAGCGGGGAGCCCGCCTCACAGCAGGAGCTTGGTCCTGGGACGAGGAAGCCCGGCTCACCGAGCAACAGGTGTGGCTATGGCCACTCCCCACGCCCGCGCTGCCGCCCGCAGAGCAGAGCGCTGAGGCGGGAAGGTCCGGCGACAGCCGCGCGTCCCTTGTCGCAGCTCAGAGGGCGGGTCGCCAGCATTCCCGGGACCCACTGCCGCCTGTCCTCGCCAGCCCGCAGGTGGCCGTGCAGCAGCCTGGGTCACGAGGCTTGGGCGCCTTCGTGTCGTGCGCCCCGAGGGCCGCTCCAGCTGGGGACACGCGGCTGGCTCCGAAGTCCCTCGCCCGCGCCAAGCCATGGAGCTGGCGGCTGAGAATGGCAGCGAGGGCAACGCGAGCGGTCTGGAGCCAGGCGACCCCGAGCCGCGGCCCCTGCTGGGCATTGGCGTGGAGAACCTGGCCACGCTGGTGGTGTTCGGGCTCATCTTCGCGCTGGGCGTGCTGGGCAACAGCCTGGTGATCACCGTGCTGGCGCGCAGCAAGCCGGGCAAGCCGCGCAGCACCACCAACCTGTTCATCCTCAACCTGAGCATCGCCGACCTGGCCTACCTGCTCTTCTGCATCCCCTTCCAGGCCACGGTCTACGCGCTGCCCACCTGGGTGCTGGGCGCCTTCATCTGCAAGTTCACGCACTACTTCTTCACCGTCTCCATGCTCGTCAGCATCTTCACCCTGGCGGCGATGTCGGTGGACCGCTACGTGGCCATCGTGCACGCGCGCCGCTCCTCGTCCCTGCGGGTGTCCCGCAACGCGCTGCTGGGCGTCGCGGTCATCTGGGCACTGTCCATCGCCATGGCCTCACCCGTGGCCTACCACCAGGGCCTCTTCCACCGCGGCGCCCACAACGAGACCTTCTGCTGGGAGCAGTGGCCCAACCCGCGCCACAAGAAGGCCTACGTGGTGTGTACCTTTGTCGTCGGCTACCTGCTGCCTCTGCTGCTCATCTGCTTCTGCTACGCCAAGGTGGGCGCGCGGCGGGGCGGGGAGGGCCGCTCCCCTCGGCCTGGCCTGGCCTCTGCGGAGTTTCAGTGGGACAGGCCGCCCTGGAAAGTTATTTGGAGGCGGGAGTTTGAGGAAGTCTGGCGACAATAGTCCCTAGAGAAGGGTCACCTCCCCCACCCCCTGTGTCCCTGCTCTTCGCAGCCGTGGCAGCCTCCAGAGCCCCCCCCCCCCTTAACCAATGGAAAGCTGCCTCTGCCTTGTAATTCGCAGCCCCAGATCGCCGGCGGAGAAATGAGGGGCGGGGGACTGCAGGGCGGGCTTGAGGGAGGCGCCGAGCTGTGCGCTCCCTGCGGCCAGGCTTCAGGGTTTGCGCTCTGGGCCGCAGAGGCTCTGCTGGGCGGGGCAGGGCTGTGGGCTGCATGTGCACAGTTCAACCTGACACACTCAGGTGTAACCCAGCCTGGCTGCTCCGCGTCCTGACCACAGTGTCCATGAAGGTGGGAAGCAGAAGGTGGGAGCTTTCCCACCGAGCCCTCTTGGAAAGGCTGGGCGCGTCTGAAGGTGGTACCAAAAAAAAAAAAATCCTTACCTCCAAGAAGCAACTTGGTTTCATCCTCTTCAAGACAGACCTGTTTAGTCTCTTGGCGGTTCATGGTGTATTCATCACACATCACCGTTCAAAGACATGGATTCTTCTCCTGTCAACCTTACTCATCATCCAGCTCTCTGATGTATAGCAAGTAATTGCGAAGACAAACCTTGATAAGGCTCATCTTAGTCTTTAGACTGACTGCGTTGCTCTTGAGCACTTGGGAGAGGTGCCTGAGAGCAGATTTTCCTAATGCAATTTGTATTTTGATTCCTGACTGCTGGTGCCAAGAGTGTTGATCATAGAATCAAGCAAACTGAAATTGTTAACAATATCAGTCTCTTCTCCATCCATCACGGTGCTGCCAACTGGCCCAGTGGTGAGAATGTTGAGCTTTAATGCATGTTAAAGACTACAGTCCTTGATCCTCTGCAGCAAGCGCTTCAGGTCCTCCTCAGTTTTGGCAAGCAAGGTTATGTCATCTACATAACAAGGATGAGTCTTCCTCCAACCCTGGTGCCGCATTCCTCCTCATAGAGCCCAGCCTCCTGAATGATCTGTTTCACATATAGATTAAAGAGATGTGGATGTAGGGTGCGTCTCTGACATACTCGTTTCCTGATTTTTGAACCTGGTAGTGTTTCCTTGCTCTGTTTTCATGACTACTCCCTAGTCTAAGTACAGGTTTCACCTGAGCACAATCAGATTCTCTGGGATTCCAGAAGTCTTCTGAATGAACAGGACGCCAGTGAGGAGGCCGCGAGGTTGTGAAAACCGTTAGTGCTACAGTTTGGGGACTAGATTTTTTTTTTTTTTTTTTTTAGTTCTTAAAATTTATTCTCCAGCCTCAGCCTCCCGAGTAGCTGGGACTACAGGCGCGCGCCACCACGCCCGGCGGGGACTAGATTTTTGACATAGTTATGCTTTAATCTAAGTAAAACTGGAGTAATCATTGAAAGTCTAGGTCATACCTGGAAACTCACTCCGGGCCTAAGTGGATAGCAGGAAATCCATGGCCTTTGAGCTGATTCTCACCCACAAAGTCTCTCAACGAGGCTTCTGAGTTTGCCTTCTTTCTCCCACGAGCAGCTGGTGGATTGGAACAGCCAACCTTTTGTTCACACTGCACCACCAGAGCTCTTAAGTGGTGATAAGTCCCTTCAAGTTGCTTTAATTTGGTTTAATCATTAAGCATTGCTTCCCTGGTAAGGATATTGTTGTCACCTGAGTGTTGGGCTTGAGACTGGCGGATTCCTGGTGGTCCAGGTCTGCTGGGGTCAGGACTGGTGCTTTTCCTGAGGTCCAGGTCTACAGCCAAGGTGGGAAGTCACAGATGCTGGAGAGGCACTTGGGATGGGGGGGGGAGGGGGCTTTGTTTTGTGTCACACATTCATACTCCGCACAGCGTCTTGGTGACCTCGTGTTGCTCTGACAGGACTACCCCAAGTTGATGGCTCTCCGAGCACCAAACTCACTGCTGTCAGTCAATGCTAACCTCTCGGAGTGCTGGTGGTCCAGTCGTTAAAGCATTCAGCTGCTAACCAAAATGGTTTAAACCAGCAGCTGCGCACAGTAGGACGAGGAGGCGGTCGGCTTCCAGGTGATTCGTAGTCTTGGACACCCTGGGATGGTTCTGTCCGGCACTGTCGCTGTGGGGGCTGGTTCTAGCAACACAAGTGTGTTTCCGCACTGTTTAGGATGATGCGGCAGTCCGAGTGGAAGACACCCCCCTCTGCCATTCTTGTCTGCTGAGCATCTGTCCTGGGTGAGGCCCAAGCTGGCCTGTCTTCTCTCTTCCTCAGCTCCTGCTGCTTCTTGCTTGTTTACCTTCCTTCATATCTGAAAAGAGATTAAATTAACACACAGCCTATGCCAGTCCTGTGTTATTAACAAAACATGGAAAACCAGTTTTCACATGGGATTAAGGCCATAGGCATAGGAAGGTTTACAACACGTATTCTGGGGAGGACACAATTCAATCCATAATGCACACAGGGAGAACGCTGGAGAGGCCTGGTGCTTCCAAAATTTTACATATCTAATGAAATTGTTCTTTCTGGTTTCTTTTCTCTTGATCACCTCCTCTGAAGACTAGAACCCATGGGCTGTGCCTCCTTTGAGGACCTACAGTTACTCTGTAACTATGCCACCCTCTCCTTAGGAGGGACTATGGTTTGGACCCCACTTGGGAGATTATATCTTGATAATCCACCAATGTCTCCATGTACCGAGACAGCGTTGGACCCAGTGGGAGGGGCCTGAGTGGCTGTCTTTCCACACCCTCTGGAACGTCTGGCCTCATGGCCATGTCACCAGCGAGCCGTCATTATCTTCTGGAGAAATCTGATCTGGTCATGATGCCTCCATCCTTCCTCATCTAGTGACGAGACCTTGGCATCATACAGCCACATGTGTTTAGAGTACAAGCTCCAGAAGAGAAACCGAGCTGAGCGGGCTTCCTTGAGCCCTTACTTCCTTCAGTGGCCATTGAACCACACTTGACACCTGTCGGTCTTCTGATGTTTCTGTTTAGAGACCCAAATTAATTCACAAAGGAATGAATGGACCTTGAAGTGGAATGAAAAGGTTGTTGACCTTTAAACTTTTTATGCTGTCTCATCACCACCTGTCCCTCTCCTCCCTGCATCCTGCTGCCTCTTCTCTCTTCTTCCCTCTTGCTCTGTTGTTCAGTTGGCCAGTGTCTTTTGTGGTCTCCTGCTGGGAAGAGCTCCCTAGTGCATCTTACCAGGTTTCCCCGTCCAAGCAGGGCCCTATCTCCCATCTCTTCATTTGCTGCGCTCTCCTGCTCCTGTTGAGGCTTCTTTTGGCACTCACCCTATTTTCACCTTCCAGTGCCCTGGTTTCTGCTGATAAAAGAGGAAGGTGACCAGAGGTTAATATGTTGAGAGTCACCTCTGTGCTCCCGCTGCGTGCAGGTAGACCTTTGCCTTGTTGACGATGCTGAATCACTTTAAGAAAGAAGGATCTTAGTGGGCAGGGAATTGGCAGACTCACACCACCAAGGTGGCTACCTACCCAGCCTGGGGCTTGTAGAAGAGGGAAGTAGTCTGTCTCCCCAGTTAGGGAGTGCTAGGTCGCTTCCATGGCTGCACCTGACAGACAGGGCTGATGGAGGAGACCCAGCCTCTGCAAAGATTTTGTGTGATTAAATGGTCTTCCAAACCCAGCGCTGGAGGAAGGCAAGTGCTGGAACTTGCCTTGAGGTTCTTTGAGATTCACAGCTCAGAGATCTGTATGGGCCACCAAGCCTCATCCTTGTCCAGGGCTCGTTGTCTTGGATTTTGTCTTGAATGATGCTTGTGAGCAACACTAAGTCCAAGCTCTGCAGCTCTAGTGCTCTGAGAGAGAGCAAGCTTGTGTTGGAAGTTCCTGAATGGGCAGGTTTGCAGGGCCCTTCCCTGAGTTGCTGCTGGTGGCAGAAGACAACAATAGCTGCTTTAATTGGAAACCAGTGTATCTTCAAGGACATTTGCTGAAGGGGAACACTAATTGCAAGTACTACTAACTGGTTTTCTCCTTGAGATACTGAAATTCCAGCATGCATAGCACATTAGGAAAAGTCTGAATGAGAAAAGAATGTGTCTGGTGGGATGATTTCCTATGTGGAGTTTAGAAATGGAGACGACTGGGAAAACAGATGGGATGCCTGGAAGGGGAGTTTGGGTGTAATTTAGCCTCACTGGGTGCCTTAGCACCCCACATGTTGGGCTGTTTGAAAGCTCTGCAATTAGAACTCACCAGCCCTTCAAGGGAGAAGGATGATCTGGTAGACTAGGGAGCTCTGCTGGCCTAGTGGTAAGAGGCTGCACCACCAATCTGAAGGCATGTGGTTCAAATCCAGCTGCTTCACAGGAAAAAGATGGGCAGTCTCCTTCTGTCCTTTTCTCTGAAGCCCGTTGGAGGGTCAGCTGTGGGTTAGTTCCTATAGTGTGAAACAACAACCAGCACTAGGAAGATTCATAACCTCGGAAACAGGATGGAGGGTCTCCGTGAGTTGAAATCAACTTGGGAACAATGGGTTTGGGGTCTTTTGGGGAGTTTTGCCTTGTGAGTAATCTGGTTCTATCGTCTGTGTTTATTTGCTTCATTTTCTTGTTGGATGATGAAATTCTTGAAGGCAAATAGGATCAGAGCTCGACGGGGACCTCCGGTGATGTAGTCTGTGGGGGTTGTGCTGCCAACTGAAAGGATATGCTTCTCTGCAAGTGTGAATCCACCAGCAGCTCTGAGAGAAAGACCCCGTGTGACCTACAGCTCCAGAAGGCCCATGGCGTTGGCTCAGCTCAAAGGCGAGGAGTGTGAGTTTGGTCTTTATGAGGAACTCTGTTGGCAGGACGGTTAAGTGCCAACAAAAAGGCTGGAATCCACTCATTAGTTCAACGGGATAAAGACCTGGCGTTCTGCTTCCCAAAGACGACAGCCGGGAAACCCTGTGGGAAGTTCTCTGCCACAAGGGATCTCTGTGAGTTGAAGTGGACTTGTTGGCCCCCAACAGCAGGGTTCGGATGTCCCGGTGTCTGACACATAGTGGAAATGTGACGGGGGATAGTCATGAGATTTTCCTGGAGAAAAATCAGGTTCACGTTCCAGCACTTTCTGCATTTTCACTTGTCTTTCATACTCTGAACTACTGGAAAGTGGGTGCATCTGGCGATTCCTGTTTACTCTTACTGTTCATTTTAGTAATTTCACAGGTAGTGGTATCACCTGATAGTATGATTTTTTTTTGCTCGATGAGGGATTACACCTTGGGATTCCAGGCATGGTCATTGCCAAAGAGATGATACAAGACCAGAATGAAGATAAATCTCTTTATTCTTTTGTGTCTTTCAGGTTCTTAACCATTTGCATAAAAAGCTGAAGAACATGTCAAAGAAGTCAGAAGCCTCGAAGAAGAAGGTAATTGGCACCTGCATGTGGCTCTCTAAAGTGTATTTTTGTTGTCTTTATTCTCAGTTGTCCTCATGTCTGTCCAGTGTCTGGGAAACCTAGGTTCCGTCAAACAGATGCCAGAAATAAAGCTCTTCCTGTTAGGGCAGTGATGGGGCGGGGGGGCGGGGACAGTGAGGAATCACAGGGGCTTGATGTGGGAGTGGCATGGGGCAGATACACATATTTATTTTGGCTTCTGAACCCAGTTAGAAGTCCGTTCTAGGGAGACTGAGGCCGAGCGCCTGCTGGAAGCTTGCAGGCTTTCCATGTTACACTCACCTTCTCTCTCTGAGCCTGAAAGGTTTTGGTTTTGTTTTCTTTAAGAGAAACTTGTTGTCATCTCTCCCTAGATCCTCAAGTGCAGACACGGTAGTGTCCTTATCTCTTCCATTTAGACTCTGTGAGTCCTGGGACACAAAGCCCAAGCCCAGGGCTGCAGTGTCAGTCGGTGCACAGCCACCTGGACAAGGTCTCCAAGGCTGCAGAGTGAAGCAAGCAGACTGCCCGAGGAGAGGCTCCTGGGTTGTAGGCTGGGCGTTGACACCATCAACCAAAGGGATGGAAGGGCTGACTTGGAGGGAGTTTGAAGGAGATATTACCCCTGTCTTATTATTTTTCCTAAAAAATGAATTGTGACTCCAGTGAGTATCTGATTGATGTTAAAAGCCCCAGGTTATTGATATTCCCTTCATTTCTCAGGGCAGGTCTATTGAGTTCTTATTTGATAATATTGATATAATTTCTGATTATAGAAAGTAGAATGTGATTATTGGGCAATATGATTATGGAGGAGATTATAACCAGATATTTTTACCCACCTATGTTAGTAATAAAATCTGAAAATATCTTGGTTTTCCTTCTAAACATTTATTATGATCTACCACATACATGATTTTAGAAATTATAGCTCAGATAACCATATCTGCTTTAAGAAATCTTTGAAAAAAGGACTTTTCCTGATTTTTCTTATTCATACCAGAGCTTCAGCCAGTAAGTCGGGCCTCAAACCCTGGCTGACGATTCGCATCTCCACCAGGACTGACAGTCAGAACCTGAGCATTAACAAGCTCTGCAGGTGGTCTCCACACATCCCCAGGTGATTCTCATGTGTCCTCCTGGGGAGCTTGTTAACAGTCCGCCTGGGGTGGAAACGCAAATTCTCAGCAAAGGGTTGGGCTAGAACGAACCTGAAGCTCTAATTCATACACAAGAATGTGGCTAAAACACATCCATTTCTATGGTCAATGGAAGTCACTGATGGACATTTGGTTAAGCTCAAGTCAAGTCCACTGCCACGGGGTGTAGGACAGAGGAGGGGTCCCACAAGCTTTCCGACTGTACATCTTTCTGGAGGTGGATTGTCTCATCTTTCTCCTGAGTGGCTGGTAAGCTCACACTGGTCCTTGTGGTTGGTCCTCAGACACTGACTTCTCACCATCAGGGCTCGTTAGGTATAAAAACACACATATTAAGACATTCTTTGCAGTGCAAATTGCACTTGGATTAGAGAAATAATCACTCAGTTTTTAGGATAATGGCCTCAGAAGAAACTCCACCGTAGATGTAACTGAACTATCTTACAGCTTCTTTCCCAGGCCTTTCTTACGGGAATCCACCGGGATGCAGGTTTTCTGTGAACCGTCCGCATCCCTCTAAGTGCTGGCATGGGGAGGAGGGCTGCATGGGCAGAAGCTTCCAGAAGCCTGTGTTTGCCCATTTTTCAGTGACCGCTTTATACTGAGTTCCTAGTGTTTCTGATCTGCTTCTCATTGTTCACTCTGAGACGCACTTCTCATCCAGGCGTCATCAAGGCCAATAAAGACTTGCTGACAGCTGCCCCTCAGACAATCCTATCTAGAAGATAAAGATTGGACAGCATCTTGGGGTTCAAAGTTGAACTGGAGCGATGTCATTGAGTAAGCCAGCTGACTGAAAGAGATTCATGTTTGTTCCCATTCCAAAGAAAGGTGACCTGGGAGAGTGTGGAAATTATTGAACAGTATCAGTATCACATGCAAGCAAGATTCTGCTGTGATTATCCAAAAATCACTGGAACAGCACATCAGCAGAGGACTGCCAGATGTGCAGGCTGGGTTTAGAAGAGCTCGTGGTAGTAGGGATATTATAGCCAATGTTAGATGGATCTTGGCAGAAAGCGAGAATACAAGAGGGATGTCTATCTTTGTTTCATTGATTTTGCAAAGGCATTTGACTGTATGGATCACAACAAACTTTGGCTGACTCTGAATGGGAATCCTAGAACACTTGATTGTGTTTATGCAAAACCAATACTTGGGCCAGGAGACAGTCATCAGAACAAAGAAATACTGCATGGTTTAAAATTGAGTTGGGTGTACGCCAGGGATGTGTCCTATCTCCATACCTTTTCAATGTATATGCAGAACAGATCATCCAGGAGTGTGGGCTGTATGAGGAGAAGTGTGGCATCAGGATTAGAGGAAGACTCATCAACAACCTGCGTTATGCAGAGGACATAACCCTGCTTGCTGAAACTGAGGAGGACCTGAAGCATTTGCTGTAGAAGATCAAGGACTGCAGCCTTCAATATAGATTGAAGCTCAACATCAAGCAAACAAAGATTCTCATCACTGACTGGGCTGATTAGCAGCATGATAGACCGTGAAGAAATTGAGATTGATGACAGTTCAGGTTGCTTGCTCCACAATCAACACTCTTGGTACCAGCAGCCAGGAACTTAAGAGATGAGTTTCACTGGGAAAGTCTGCTGTCAGGGACCTCTCAGAGTATTGAAGAACAATGATGTCAGTGTGGAGACTAAGGTGAGCCTGATCCAGGCCATGGTCTTCGCAATTACTTGCTAAGAGTCAGAAAGCAGGACAATGACTGGGCAAGATAGGAGAATTAATGCCTTTGAGCTGTGGTCCTGGAGAAGAGCATTATAGGAGAACAAACAGATTCTTTCTGGAGAAGGTGAAATGAGATTGCTCCTTGGAGGTAAGGATTCTGAAGCTTTGTCTGACATTTTTGGGGCATATTGCAAGAAGTGACCAGTCCTTGGAGAGGGACATCATTCTTGGGAGGTTGAAGGGGCAGCACAAGAGAGGAAGACCCTGGATGAGATGAATTGATTCAGTGACTGGGGTACTGGGGGTAGGTGTGTCAGAGACAATAAGTTTGGCACAGAATAGAGCAGGGTTCAGAGCTATTGTACGTAGGGTTGCTATGAGTCACAAGCAACTTGACAGCATATAACAAGAATAACAACAAGAGGCATGTAAATCAGATAGTGTCCTCTAATGAGGAGGGTCAGAAGGGCCAGGAGGGCCCTCGTTCTCTCCTCCAATGGAGGAGAGACATGTACTTGTCTTTGATTGAGAAGACTTGATGTTTACCCGAAGGCGGGAAGCCATATGTCTTTAATCACTCCTGGATCTTACCTCCGGCCAGGGCTAGATTTATTCTCTATATCTGCAAAAATGTTGAAGAGAAACTGTAAAAATTCTCTGAGAAGAAGAAAGTAGTCAAAGGTATACAAAAAAATTTTGTGAGAAATGGTTATAAAAGCTTTTTTGGGTCCATAAGATCTAAAGATCAATGCTTAGATAAGCAACTACTTGTTTACCTGTATCTATATTTAAGTATCCAAATCTGTGTATGTATATTGTTGTTAGGTGGTGTGAGTCGCATGTGACCCTATGTATACATCTACATAAATACTCGCTGCATTCAGTCTGGTTCTGAAGTGACCCTCCACTGGGTCTGTTGATCTTCAGGAGAGCAGAACCCCGTGGGATGGTTCTCCTCTTTGATAGGGTCTGTGGATAGGAATAAGCCCACAGCATTTTAGAATGATGGCTCTGAATGTGCTGTGCCGCTGGAGAACATTGAAAAAGCATGGACTGGAAGACACAGCTTTCCTCCTTCTTCCCACATAAGGACATTTTGGAATCAGGATCTGGAGGGAGAGCGGGAGCCTTCTCTCCTGTCTCACACCCTCGGACCTCACAAGCAGGTGCTCAGTCTCTTTTGATAATCGCCACCTTGTTTGCAGGGAACTTATGAACTGCAGTGTGGCGATGGTTGCACTTAATGTTGTTAGGTATCTTCCGGCAGGTTCCGGCTCATGGTGACCCCAACCCCGTCCAGCAGAATGAGCACCGTCCGCTCCTGCTCTGTCTTTGCTGTCATTGCTGCCTTAAACCCACCTTTGAACCACTGAGTCAATGCCTCCCACTGAGGGTCTCTTTCTCGCTGAGCCTGCATTTGACCAAGCAAAATACTCTTTCCCAGGGATGCATCCCTCCTGATAGCATGTCCAAAGTATGTTTCTCACTATCCTCGCTTCTAAGTGACAGACTTGAGACCAATGAGTTCAGAGTTCAAGCACTGTTTTGACAGGCCTCCACATGGGAAATTGAGGCAGGGTGGCAAAGTGTGAGGGGGGGCTACAGTTGGCAGGGGCTTCCCACAAAGGCAGGTCCTTTAATGGTTCCCAGAACAGTATTGTTCTGGTTGAAAGGTACAAGGAGAGGAGAAGTGGCACTGTTGTGAGCACTGTTTGCAGAGTGTGAGGGAGAGGAGGGTGGTCTGTAGTTATGGGCATGGACCCAGTTCCCAGCCTCTCACTGACAAGCCCTCCGGCTGCACTATGGGCCCAGTTCCCAGTCTCTCACTGACGAGCCCTCCGGCTGCACTGCCTCTAAGACACGTTTGCTGTCCTTCTGGAACTCTGATGTGTTCAGTCCTCTTCACCAGCACACACCGCCCCAACAGGAACAACCAGTGGTCATTCACTGAGCTGATACGACTCTGACTCATGTGTCAGAGGAAACTGTGCCCCGTGGGGTTTTCAGTGACTGGTCTTTTGACCGTAGACTTTTCTTCCAAGGTGGACATGGGTGGATTTGAATCTCCAAACTTTCGGTTAGTACCTAAACATGCTCACCATTTGCACCACCCAGGAAACCAACTGACCAAACCCACTGCTGGGGGTTGGTTCTGAGGTGGTGACACCCCTGAGGGGCAGGGTTGATTGTGTCAGCAGTCAATCACTTGCTTTTGTTATAGGTTGGAACCCAGCCTCACCTCAACACAGAAAACAACCTGACTCTTGTCCATGAGAGAGAGAATGGACAGAAGTATGGAAAATAGAACGATAAATGTTGAATTAATCAGGAAACGTACACAATGACAAACATGACCATGGAAAACCCAACATGGCCACGACTCCCTGCCTTCTGCTTTATGAATCAGGATAAACCACAAATATTCTTAACAAGCTACTAGAGTTCATTTCTACCCTAAGCTTTTTATATTTAGTGGAAAATATTCCCAAAAAAGCAATGAACCAAATATCCAAAGGGTATTTTTTTAATAGAGAAATATTCTTACTGTCTTTGAAAGAGAAGATGGTGTTTTCTTTTCTATTTTGTGGGTGTAATTATATCTAGATTGTTTTGATTAAATCATCTCAGAATGGAATTTCTCCTAAGCTAATAGAGTAAATGCATTGATAGCAGACACTCCCTCAATACACGCAAGCAAATGCTTTGTTTGCTGCTGTGCCCTGTGCTAAGCGGCTTTAATATGTAATTTGATCTCCATGTAGGAATCTGCCACCAGGCTTTAGGGCCAAGCCATTCTTAGTGCTCCAGACAGGTAGGCACACACTGGGGACACTTCATCCGATGGCATAGTGGGGAATGTGCTTCCATCCAAATCCGAATTCACCAGTTGATCTGGGAGAAGAGGTTGGCCAGTCTTCTTGCGTAAAGATAACAGCCATAGAAACTCATTGATGGTCCCCAGGAGTTAGAATCGACCTGAGGGCAGTGAGTTTGGGTTTTGGCTTATCCTCTGTTCAGATGAGGAATCCAGGCTCTGGAGTGCTGGCTTCTGGTGCAGGTGAGGAGAAGGGTGGACCTGCTGGAATTCGTGCACCTGCCCATTCCAGCTGCCGCATCTGTGCCCATCCTGACCGTGGGCTTCGTCCACACCTGGAAGGACTCTCCTTGCTTCTTCTTCTATTTTTGTTCTACTTCTGACCTTACTTCTTAACCTCTCACAAGGTGGTGCACTGCTTACTTTAAGATGCTGTGTTCTGTGAGGGTGGGATCCCACCGGGGTGGGAAGGGCGGTCAGTCATCCCAAATGCCCTCTCACTGTGTGGGAAGTGTTGCGGTGGTGAATGTGTTGGATCTAGAGAGTGACGTCTCCCCATAAATGTTTGTGAGTGTATGAAGCCCGCATTTCCAGCAGAGGAATTTGTGGTGGAGCAGTGATTTCCTGTCGTGAACTTGTGTTCCTTCCTCCTGTCCTTCCTCTGGAGTGAGGGCACAAGAAAAAAAATCTCCCCCTGTGCTGTTGGTTCAGTGCTGGACGACTTACCAGAAGTTTGATAGTTTGGACCCGGCAGGGCTCCTCAGAGGAAAGGTTCCAAGCATGCTGCCATCGTTAGATGCTGCCTTACTGGGTGACCTGAAGAGAGTGCCCTGCCCCACCCCACAATCCCTGCTGTCCATTGTTGGAATCACTGTGTGACTTTATCTGACCCTTCGCTTTTCCAAACCCAATGCCCTTTTTTGAGAGATTGGTCCCTTCAAACACACGCCTAAAGCATGAAGAATGAAGTCTCACCGTCCGTGATTCTAAGGAGCATTCTCACTGCACTTCTTTAAGATTTGTTGACTCTTTTAACAGCCTGTGATGCAATCACTATTCTTTGCTGACACCATTTTTTTAATTGAAATGGTTATATTTATTTTTTATTATTAAATTTTATTAATTTTAATGAACATTTACAGGGATTTTGGGTCTTCACTCCTTCACTGCTGCACCATTTTCTCTACCCTCCTCCCCAGTTTGTTCTTCTTCCCCCGCCATCTGAATGTCTGTTTTAATTGTCCAATTGCCACAGTGCTTGTCAAAGTCAGTTCTGATTAATCTCCTTTGTCAGTGTGTCCTTTGCCATTCCCTATCACTCCTCCCTGACAGAGACTTCACCCTGATTCATAAGGAAAAGGGGATGGCGTATTCTCTTAGCTACTTCCTGCTGAAAAGGGACGTTGTGGGTTTCAGGGTGAAGATCTTCTCTCACTACTCTAAAGGGCCCCTTTGGCAGTAGGAAACACATAGACTATTATGGAGATTTATTTTGGAATTTAGATGCACTGTTATTAATTGTGCTTAGCCGTACATGTTCATATCCTTGAATATGTATCATGGGGGGTTTGCAACCTAGAAGACACAAATTTAACTAACAAGTTATAAGTACATGAGTCAAAAATTATGGATGCTGACACCATTTTTAAGATCACATCCTGGAAAGCTCTGTGGGGCCCTGCTGTTCTGTTGTATAGGGTTTCTACAAGCCGGCATCAACCTCATGGAACTCAACAGCCAAGACTTCATTTTCTCCCATCTCTCTGTCCTTGCCTTTTGTCTATTTTCAGTGAAAATACTTCTGCAAGGAAGGGGAAATATCACCCTTCCACCTCAGCCCTGGGGTAGAAGGTCCCAGGAAGGCTGTGCCACACTTTCCTGCTTGTTGACATGTTCGGGGAGTGCGGGAAGAGAACACTGCTATTGGCGGCTCCTCCATCCACATATCCAGCCACACTGTTTAAAATATTACAGCTGAGACTGATTCCGAGAAAAGGGAGAGGCTCCGTGGTGCTTAACCTTTGACCAAGGTGGTGGAAGTACTCACTTCTTGAATAAACCCTGGTTTAGTGAACATTGAAGCTCCCAGTGGCAGGGGTAAAGTGCTAGATTTGTGACCAGAGACCTGCTATTTAAACCCACCAGCTGACCCACAGGAGAAAGAAGAGGCAGTCAGCTTCCGGGAAGGCTTACAGGCTTGAGAATTTGGAGGTGTGACTACCCAGTCCTAGTGTCACTGTGCGCTGGAATTTTCTTGACAGCAGTGAGTTTGAGTTGTCGCTGTTTTTGTTGATTGCAACTCATTGTGACCTATGAATAAAAGGCCTGAAGCCTTTCTATAACTATAGTCACTTATCAAAGTTCAATAAGTTTCCATAGGCATGTTGTTTAGGAAGTGGATGCCACTTTGATTTGAGAGTCATTTGTGAAGGATCGGCCAGCCATCTGGATACTGACTGAAAGGCTAATAATTCAAATCAATCAGCTGGAGAAAGATATGACAATCTGATTCTTTAAAGATTTACAACTGCTCTGTCTTATAGAGTTGCTGTGGGTCAGCGCTTGCTGGCAGGTTGTGTGAGGCCTGAACTTCCTGGCCAAGAGAACCGGGAGATGGCTCAGCAGAAACAGGGAAGCCTGGAGTAGCTTCCTTGTCTGACCAAGTTAGAAAGCTAAGACATGGGATTCCCTCAGTGTTCTGCTCTAACTGGTGTGCACACTGGTGTGACAGGGGTGTGTGGCAGGGGTGTGCACACTGGTGTGATGGGGGGTGCGTGCTGGTGTGATGGGGTGTGGTGGATGGTGACCAGGCAGGGTTTCCTTCTCTCTGGGGGTGTGTTGAGAGCATGGAGGTGAGGGAATAGCCCAGATCTCCACTTTGACATCATCGGCATCTCAACCAGAGCTGCTGTTATGGAAGCATAAACAGGCAGGAGCTTCAAAGAACAGTTACTTCAAAGTTATTTCATCATTTCGGAGGCCATAAATCCACATTCAGAGTCTCAGCTTTGAGGATGGCTATCTCTGTTTTGGGTTCCAGGTTAATCTTTGGCTTCCTTTTCTTAACTCAGCAGGGATAGATTTAGGGCACACCCTGCACTGTATATCCTTATTAACAGGACAAAGAAAACCCTATTTTCAAATGGCATTACATCCAAAGGTAATCATGGGTGTCCTTGAGTCTGTTTTCTGTCTCAGCGGCCATGTGTTGGAGCAGAGCTGCCCCAAGAGTTTCTAGGTATAATCTAATTGGAACAGGTCATCAGGGCTTTCGCCCCCAGACCAGTGGGTGAGTCTGAACTGCCAACCTCAGCTGGGGCTGCTGTAAGAGAAGTAACAGAACTGCTCACTAGCAATAAGCAGTCCCAGTGATGGAAACCCTGCGGGGTAATTCTTTTTGCTCATATGGGGTCGCTGTGAGTCAGGACCGAGTGGACAATACCTAAGAACCACAGAGGAGAAACAAACGTATGTGACACACATGAACAATCGTGTGTGAGGTGCCTCTCTGGGGCTGGGCCTCCTCACTACTGGCACATTTCACAGTGCCCGATGTGAAGAGAGTCTGGCTCTAGTTACAGCTGGTTATCAGCCCACATGTGTCCGCGCAGAGCTGCCCTCCACACGGTTCACGCACCTGCGTTCTTGGAAGAGCACCACGTTTTTCTTCTAAGGTGCCCCTGCTTGCACTTTGCCTATACCTTGAGCTGACAGTGAGCACGCTAATGTCTGCACTGCATGGCGACTCTGTGCCGCACATACCTGTCTGTCTGTCTGTCTGCATGACTCAGGATGCACATCTTCTGGTCTGCGTGCTTTGCACACACTCCTCAAAGTCCTCTTTAGAGACCTTGATGGCAGGGCATGAAGGAGACACCAGCTGAAGGCCAGCATTTAACACAGGTTTGGTTCAATGACAAGGGGCAGTGGCTTCTGGGGCATGTGCACAGGAGGTCGTGAGGCTGGTACAGGACTGGGCAGGCCTTTTGTTGAGTAGGAGTGGACTTAGAGCCCCCGACAGCTCAGGCGGGTGCTGGCTTCTCTGTGGTAATGGACACGTCTGTTCTCCATGTCTTCTCTTCTCCAGACGGCGCAGACGGTGCTGGTGGTCGTGGTGGTGTTCGGCATTTCCTGGCTGCCGCACCATGTCATCCACCTCTGGGTTGAATTTGGCGTCTTCCCCCTGACCCCCGCCTCGTTCCTCTTCAGAATCACAGCACACTGCCTGGCATACAGCAACTCCTCCGTGAACCCCATCATCTATGCTTTTCTCTCGGAGAATTTCAGGAAGGCCTACAAGCAAGTGTTCAAGTGTCCCCTGCGTACGCAGTCCCCACTCAACGACACGAAGGAGAACAAGAGCCGCATCGACACCCCGCCCTCCACCAACTGCACCCACGTGTAAAGCAGATTGCTGGCTGTTCCTGCTTCTGAGTTTCCACAGGAGAGAGCCTGACGCAGCAGGAAATGCAGGGTGCGCTGAAGCCAAGCTGTTACTGTCATCGCAACAGCAAGTCATATCATCCTAACTCAATCCCACTGTGTTCAAAGGAACTTCAAGTCATTCGGGGATTCTTTAGTCTAGTGGGGATTATTTCTAGGGAAAGCTGGACTTCAATTTTATTTTCCAGTTGTATTTCAGAAATGACGATAGCAAAGTACTATCTGGTTTTATGTCCCTAAAGAAAAGAAGGTTTCTTGGAATGCTACAGATGGTTTAGGTCAGGACTTCAAACTGGGTCGACTATGGTTGATGGACCAAAATAAGGATGGGCTGGAATTTGTAAAAATCATGAGTGTTTGGAATGATAACCAGTTTAAGAAAAGCTGTGAATCAAAATATTGGAAAGGGAGTCTTGGGAGGCACGTCAGAGCAGCACATCTGGCTGCCCTCTTTGAGCAAGACATTATTTTTGAGTGCCTGTCAAGATACTCAGTTGCTATGCAGTATATATGCTGTCCTTGTTTTCTGGTAAACTGGCAGGATATTGACCTGTGGTTCCTTGTTCAAGATATTATTCTAGAAACCCTATTTTGCAAGTTCCAGTCTGTCCCAGCTATGCCTCAGTGTCTCTAATTGAACTGGGCAGAACCGGTTCAAAGCCCTAGTTCTCCTCTTTGTGGAGGAAGGAGCAGGACCAGTCAGCATGGTCAGAAAGCTTTGCGAGCTACCTTTGGTAGCAAATGTATTTGCTGTTGTTGTGATGTGCCGTCGAGTCACCTGTGACTCACAGTGACCCTGTGTACAACAGCTCTGAAGCCTGCCCTGTCCTGAGCCGGTCTCACTGACTCTGACACGCCCTCCCTCATTATCCCAGCTTCCGTATCAATCCATTTCATCCTGGGTCTTCCTCTCCTGCACTATTCCTCCACCCTTCTGAGAATGATGTTCTTCTCTAAGGACTGGGCCCTTCTGGGCACATGCCCAAAGTATGTAAGGTGGAGCTTCAAAATCCTAGCCTCCAAGGAGAAACTTGGTTTCACCCTCTCCAAGACAGACTTACTTGTTTCCTTGGCAGTCCATGGTATGTATGTTCAAGACTCTTCTCCAGCACCACAACTCAAAGCGTCAATTCTTCTTCTGTCATCCTTAGTTCTGTTTAGTTCTCTGATGCAAGTAATTGCAAAGACGATGGCCTAGGTCAGGTGCATCTCAGTCTCTAGACTCTAGACTCATTGCTTCTCAGTACACTGGAGAGGTCCCTGGCAACAGATTTTCCCAGTGCAGTTTGTCTTTTGATTTCCTGACTGCTGGTACTAACAGTGTTGACTGTGGAGCCAAACAAAATGTAATTGTTAACAACCTCAATTTTATTTAACCTCAGATTTATTTAGAAAATAAACTATTTTTCAGTTCTTACAGTTAAGAAAGCAGATGATATTAAAAGGCCTGTGATCTGCAATACAAGTGTGGGGCCCAGAATGCAGATTTAACCTGAATCTTACTGTTCCAGCTCTCTCTATAGAGACACCAGCTCTAGACCTCGTGTTTCCAGGCCAGCATTGCTCCCCGTTACAGAGTGCAGCCCTGCTGAGGGGAGCTGCCTGCTGTCCCGAGCTGTGCTGATGTAAGTGTGAAGGCACCAGCCCACCAGTGAGCAACTGGCTCACGGATTAACGACTGTCCTGTGAATTTAGTTTTGCCAGAGTATCCACCATGCCTTGAAAGGCACAAACCCCAAAGAAGGATCCTAACAAGAGATTTAAAAGAGAATGGTGTCTAGATAGTAATTTCTATTATACCAAAGATGGGTCAGGTGCTGCATGTGCCGCTCATACCATATCGGCAAAGCACACTGAATATCTGCTGAGGGTTCTCGGTGGTGCCAGTGAGCTGCAGGTAGCTTGCAACTGCTTAACGGAAAGGTTGGTGGTTTGAACCCACTCAGCAGCTCCACAGAGGCAAGATCTGACCATCTGCTGCCGGGGAAATGACCTCTGCTGCCATGGAGATGACCTCTGGTACTGTGGAGATGATCTCCGGTACCGTGGAGATGACCTCCGGTACCGTGGAAATGGTCTCCGGTACCGTGGAGATGACCTCTGGTACCATGGAGATGATCTCCGGTACCGTGGAGATGACCTCTGGTACCGTGGAGATGGTCTCCGGTACCGTGGAGATGACCTATGGTACCGTGGAGATGGTCTCCGGTACTGTGGAGATGACAGTCAAGGAGACTCCGGTACAGCTCTGCCCCATAACACTGGGTCACATGGACCCTCTGTCACTCTGCAGCAATAGCTCACGCGTTTGGTACAGTTAAAGTCTGAAGCAGACTGTGTACTAGTTGGATTGACACAGGACTGTACCGATGGGCTCAAGAATGTCAGAGATGATAAGGACAGCACGGGACCGGGCAAGCTCAGGGCTGTTATCCACAGGGTTGCTGAGAGCTGTCCTCGCCTCCAAGGCTGTGGGTCCCGGAGGGCTTGTGGGTCCCCGTGGACTCGTGGGTCCCCGTGGACTCGTGGCAGTGGGGATGCTTTGGTTAGGGTTTCTTGAACAAGAGGTGCTAACAGAACATGTAAGAGACTTGATCTTCTCAGAGTGGAGCAGAGGTGGTGGGATCCGCCCGGCCTCAGGGTAGGTTGTTTCCTTTAATGTGTAAGCCCTGCGGCTAAGCCCGAAGCACTTGGGGGGTTAAACGAAGCAGGACCCCAGTCCTCCTGGTCAGCAGTGAGTGAAGAGGGTGGAGATGCGCCTCTGAAGGACCGCTCAGGAAACGTGTTCAGTGCACGTGGAGGACCCTGCCTTGCCCGAGCGCACCGCTGTTTCTGGTGGAGGCCGTGGCTGTTTGCTGAGGATTTTGCCTCTCCACGGAGGGAGGAGCCCTGGAGGATTACAAAGTCGGAGGCGTGCTGTTTCACAGGCACGAGAGACAGGGTTCCATGTGGATGGATGGAAGGAGCCCTAGTGGTGCAGCGGGGTAAGTGTTGGGCTGCTAATGAAGTCCACCAGCTGCTTTGTGAGGGCAGATGAAACCCTTGGCTCTTTTAAGGGTTCCAGACTCCATCTTTCAGAAAGGACTGCGTGGCAGTGGGTTGGTTTGGGTTTGGACTGATGGATGCTGTGACTCAGCTGGTGACATGTGTGTCTGGGGTTCTTGTGAGAGATCTCAAGGACACCCTCTGTTTCTCTGGTACATGTCAGTGGGGGCTGAGACCATTGTCTAGTTAATGGAGTGACCTGTGGGCACTTGGTTCCCTTGTTCCATTGGTACCATGGTACCTGCAAGTCCACGTGTTTTCACCTTACCTTCCTTGTCTGGAGCATTCTTTGGTCCACACATTCTCCCTTCCCCCAGGCTCGGTAACTATGAGAGGCCCCAGAGTGCATGAGTCACTGGATGTGGGGACACAGGGGTGGATGCCTGTGCTTGGTCCTCCTCTGCCTGGTGGTGCAGCTGGGTGATTCTAGCACCTGCAGGACACCAAGGCTCCTGATACCTCTGACCTGCTATTCAAAGCGACAGGCAGCATGTTGTAAGGGGGGCTTGCGGGCATCCTTGGGTTCACAGTGAGGGGGGCTTGCAGGTATCTGTGGGTTCACAGTGAGGGGAGCTTGAGGACATCTCAGGTTCACAGTGACGGGGTATCTGTGGTGTCACTCCTGACCCGGAGTCAGCATCTCAAGTGGATTTACTAAGACTGGGAGGCATGCTAGGAGGTGCTGGAGACCTGTTCTCTCTGTCTTGGGCTGCGTCTGTGCCAGGTTGGGAGAGGATATTCTCTCACTGTTCCGTCACTGTCTGTTGTCCAGCTGCTTGTGTAGACTCTCAAGAGAGGTCCCAGTGAAGCCCCATTCGTGATGTGGAGGGAATGCGCTTGGTGTACATGAAGACACAACCACAGAGGGCCTTTCACTCTGTATATGTGTCTACCTGGACGTCTAAGAGTTTGCCATATTGAGAGGATTGCATGAAGAATTTCTCATAACATTTAGTAAATTCCTTTGTGAAACTAAAAGGACTGATATGGAACCAGTGAGTTGACCAAGATTCAGTCATTTCAACAGAAGCAGCAGATACTGCACTGTCTAAAATCAGGAAGGGTGTTGATCAGCACCATATCCTCTCACCATATCTATTCAATCTTCATGTAGAGAAAACAGTCATGGGCTGTAGGAAGGTGAATACAGCGTCAAGACTGGGAGAAGACTCACTACTAACCTATGATGCACAGATGACACACCTTGTTTGTTATAAAAGTGAAGAAACACCTATTACTGAAGACCAAAGACTATAGCCTTCAACATAAAATAATAATCCTGGCCCAATAAGGAATGTCACGATGAATAGAGAAAAGACTGGCTCTGTCAAAGATTTCGTTTTCCTCGGACCTACAATCATTACACATGAAAGCAACAGTCAAGAGATCATTTTGCATTGGGCAAACCTGCTACAAAGGACGCATTTAACGTACTAAAGAATGACGATACCACTTTGAGGGCTATGATGTACTTGACTAAGGTATTGACCATCACCACATATGTATGTGAAAGCTAGATAAGATCAAAGGCGAATTACTGCCTTCACATTTTGGTTAAAGAACAATGAATATACCGTGAACTTTCAGAAGAATTGCCAAGTCTGTCTTGGAAGAACTATCGAGAATGCTCTTTGGAATCGAGGGTGGTGAGACTTTGCCTCATGCACTGTGGCAGTGTTATCAGCATGACTCAATCCTTGGAAAAGACCATCGTGCTTGGGAAGGTGCAGGGTCAGCAGAAGAGAAGATGACCTTCAACAAGATGCATTGACACAGTGACTGCAGCACCGTGCTGAGCACGGTGGAGGTGGTTAGGGTGCAGGGACACGGTGACTGCAGCACCGTGCTGAGCACGGTGGAGGTGGTTAGG